TAGAAGGAGACATGGTATAGGCATCCGATGTACCAATTTAAAAATGGTCTGCGCATCCATTTGTGACGTTAGGTGGCATCAACGACCTTGTGACTCTTGTGAGCTTCGCTAGGGAAGTCTAGGGAATTTCAGCTTGAGTTGTCAGTGCTCTTTCCAATACGTCAATTAGTTGTCGGATAACGAATTGTATTTTAAATTTCGCGCTAATTTCACCCCACTTGACGTCACAGCCGATGCGTATGCCTATACCATGTCTCCTTCTACCATGGTTTGAAATTCCGTGTCCCAAACTGTAGATACAATTACATACAAGTTGGGCAGACAACCAACTATACATGTATCATAAAGTGTTACTGTCAATGTGACGGAGTATGCAATTTTTAGAAAATAAGTTGCTATATAAAAGTAAGATATAATTGATGACAAATTTCTTGGTAGGAGGATAAAAACTTACATATTTCTATAAACACTAAATTACATTTTAATGTTTTATTTTTAATCATGGGAACTAAATACTTTGGTAGTAAGCGGAAATTTTTTACTAAATAAACCTTGACTGGTTAACGAGAGAAATCATGGCTAAGATATAAACAAATTAAATTCCGGTGATTATTAATTATTGTGAATTTTTTGTGAGAGGTTGGCGACATGTTAAAAGTTTATGGTGGTATAACTGATTGTCAAAATGAATAGACTAGTAAAGTGAACGTCGCGGGAAATTTGAACTTAGTTTCATAACACGAGAGCCGTATTTCAGTTCCCCGCGTAATTCTTATGGGCGGAATCGCGACGTCACTTTAACGCGTAAATTCTACCATTAAAGTAATTTTCCTATATATCCCACCATCAGCACTATTAAGACTGGTGTTTTTACTGTTGATTTGGATACCAAACAAAAATAGAACCGGTGGTGTTTAATAAATATTTAAATTCAACTTTTGCTACTGCAATTGTTCTGAACGTATATCGTTACAGTCAAATGACTTCCCTTATGCTTAAATAGTTTTGATTTTGAATAATATAATAAATAAATGACAAAGTATTTTCTGCGCCTCCGTCATTTTTCATAGCGTTTGTCGTACTCAATTGCGGGAAGAAAATCATCTTTTGGAAATCTAGGCAATCAAACGTGACATTTAAAATAGTTAGATTTATTTTGCCGGTTGGCATCACTGAATCAATGTCAGTTGTGTCAAATGTGTTTGGAATTTGCAAGTGGAACTATTAAGTGTGCTGTTTGGGAGTATGAGACTGCATTATTATGCTAAAGGAAAAACTAAAATAAAATTTGGGCAAGGACAAGGCGTGTGAAGCATTAATTGATTAATTGAATTTGCGTGAACGTATTAATTTTTACAACAGCAAGCAACATGAAGATTATGTCTACTCCCCAATGTTTGTAAGTTTTCAGCAAATGTGAAATTCTGTGGACATCGCGCATATTTTCTAAATGATAAAATTTTCCTAAAAAGATTTTTGTTTTTTATTTCAAACACAAGTCAAAATAAATAATCAATAGTAATACCACTAGGGATGGAAATATTATCGATAATTTTTTTATGAAGCACGAGTGTCTGCTGTTGTAATAATTCCCGACTGCGAAGCAGGAGGGAATTAAACAGCAGACACGAGTGCTTCAGAAGAAAAATTATCTGAGAATATTTCCATCGCGTGTGGTATTTTATATGAGAATTTGCCGAAGGAACCACCGTTGATGAACGGCACTTTATTATATTCAACAGTTCTATCAAGTTGCCAATATAGTTAGTATCGATGGCAATGACACGTAAACAATAATTTTATTAAAAGTAAAATAATTTACGTACGAGAAAAATGTGCACTTCTAAGAGATTTGGAAGTTCCTGTTTTCAAACTATTGATGAAGCAATTATTAATTCTATCCCAGAAAATACAAAAAAAATCAAAAAAATCTGCGTGGAAACAGTTTAATGCCTTTTGTCAGGAGAAAAATTATGTACTGGACCATCAAAGATCCATTGAAGAAATCGCTAACATTTTGAAAGATTGGGGCTACAATATGAGGCGTAAGAATGGTGAGGAATATAAGGAGTGTGTCGTAAAGACGCTTTGGAATGTAGTTGCCAAAGAAGTCCAAGAAATGTACGACTACAAGTACAATATTAAGTTCAACCCTTTTTCTGACTCAACGTTTAACGAAGCAAGAAGGGCTCGAGATGCTAAACGAAAAACTTTGCAAAGTTCATTAAAAAAAAGAAGAAGTAGTTCAACAGTTCTTTCTGGTGATGAAATACGAAAAATGGTGACAGCTTGGAACGAGGACACACCAGCCGGTTTACAAAAGAAATTCTACCAAATTTCAGCGTATGAACTTGCATGGCATGGTGGGGAGGCGGCTAATTGTCTACTCCATTACTTTAAAATTGAAAAAAATAATAAGGGAGAGGAAACTGGCAGAATAGAATACAATTCGGTGTTTTCAAAAACTACACAAGGAGGTGCAAAACCCTTGGCCAACAGTAAATGGTTAATTGCTAACAAGGACGACCTAAATATTTGTCCTGTAAGGTAGGTTTCATACAGCCAAACAACTCCAGTTGCGGTTTTCATGGTATCTATTTTTTATTTAGATTGTTCAAGAAACTTTCGTCAAAACGGACCACAAATATTACTACGGAGAGATTTTTTTTAACTCCGAATCCGCAATGGCAAAACGACAACTCCCCATGGTACAAAAATTGTCCTGTAGGCAAGAACGAAATAGGAAAATGGACCAAATTGGCAGCAGAAAAAATTGGTTTAGACGTATGTAACATCAATATAACCAACCACTCCAACAGAGCTACGGCTGTGTCACACCTGGCAAAATCTGGACTTGACGAACAACAAATTATAAAAATTACAGGTCATGCTAGTACTAGTTCACTGGCGCCTTATTTGGAAATTGACACAGAACACCATGAACAAATCATTAAGAAAATACGTTTGCAAGAAAAGGAATCGAACACTGTCGTATCTGCAACCAATGAGCTGCAAGCGAAGGCGTCTTCTAATAGTACCTATAATTATAATAAGTGTACTTTTATATTTAATTCTGACAGTTCAAAATAAATTAACAATGTTTTGAGTTATTTGACTTATTGACATAAAAAAATTATCGCGATAATTTTTTACGCCAAAAAAATTTTCGAAATAATTTTTTTTCTATGAATCTGATTGGTCGAATTTTTAAAAATAAAGCGTTTTTATTGGCTAAAACTACCTGAGGTAAATTCTCATAATAAATTGTCGACGGATAATATGTTGTGTTTTACACGTCTAGAAAATTTTTTGTGAATGCTCGTAAATTGCAAGCCTCGCCATCCGGGCTCGGCTTCCAACCATTTCGTCGCATTTCCAAAACCTCATTTTCCAGCCTTGTTAAACAAATAACTATTATTTTCACCGATTTTTGCTTTAAAAGGAAAAATTTGGTAGGTATCACTTCCATTTTAGCACAAACTGGGTCTGAAAGACCAATTAAAAAAACCTAATTTAAAAAACATACCTAATTTATTCCAGCACAAAATAATAATAATAATCTACAACAAAAGTTACACTTCCTAATGCAAAATTGGCAAAAAATTACTAATTTTCAGTTTTTCATTTAGAAACAGTTTCTTTTTTGGGGCATTTAAATATAATAGTCCTAGGAGATAACAGTTCTTCGACACTGTGAACTAGATGTTCTTCTGAACTTTGTGGTTCAGGTACAGCCAAAGCAGTCTTTTACTCCCATCAACTTGTTGCAAACTTTCCTGAAGTTGTTCCTCAACATTTGCCGTGTTTGGCCTTAATTGGGGATTAGAAGGATTTTCAAAGACACAACTTTGGTCTCAGCAGATTCACTTTTGTTCAGATCTACGCCCCAAGAGCGTGAAATGTGGGTCCGAAATAAGGTCATTATAATTTCCGCGTGGGACAAGTGCAACCATTATGGTGACATACAAATGCACCTCTTGAGCATTCACAGCTTGTCTTTTCTACCCGAATAAAGAAATATCTGCCTACGTGGGGTATTTCGTCTGTAAATCTACTTTCCATAAGAAATCATAGTAGAATTTTTGAATTGTGAATTGGCGCGCAGTGGTTGATTCTAACCTTACTTGAGTGGTCTATGTAGGATACCAACATGGAGGTAGAATGAGAGGAGGGAAGATATTTTGACAACGTGACTAATACCGCGCTTTCGAATAGGATCATAAATGGTTCTTCCAGTTTCTTCAAGAAACCGATTGTTTCAGTGGCGTGCTGGAAAGCGTTTGCCGCGTCCTGGGTATAAAATACAAAAATAATTAATTTATTAAGATAGAATATAAAATCAGTAGCAGTAAAATTTACTTGAGTTTTTATGTTGTTAGAAATATATCTTTGTTTTTATGCAATAATTACATAAACAGTAAGATATTTTTACACCCTATGAACCTATTTTAAACTAAACGGTACCGCCTCCGATCTCCTCTAGACAACCGATCACTCCCCATATGGTTCGGAAAGGGTCACACAGCATGTGAGGGGCTGTCTTGTTGGTGTTTCTTTAATATTAATCAAATGAGGTATGCTCCCTCCTGTCATCCTACCTCCATTGATACCAACTAATTACAAAGTCATGTTCTCATCGAAGTCATTTAACAAACCTTGGTTTTTATCACGTTTGCAAGACGCGTTAGGCTGTCAGAGTTGACAGCTGTGAACTGCCGTGCAAATAATTCAGAACTACCAACACAAAAATTTGCTTTAATAGTTAATAATCACTCCTATATATTCTTATTCTTTCTCTACACCACAGACTTACGATAACATAACTAAGGTTACTACGTTATGTATCGTTATAGTTTTAATATCAGTCCTGGTAAAAATCGAAATTGATACTTTCTTTACCAAGTATGCGAAATATTTAATATTAATAATAATCTATTGAACCAAAGTTTTCACACAGTATTACACACATAATCATTTTTAATAAATAAAAACGACGGGGGTACATTTTCAGATGCTTTATTAATTCAAAAATATGTTACAGTCGTTTTTTCATTATTCATGGAATCCCTTTTCAGTCGTCTTCATTAGATTCTGAACTCGAAGACGAAGAAGATGAACTTCCTGAAGAACTATCACTGTCATCGCATCCTGCTTGATCTGGCCAGTCACAGACATTTAATTTTGGATTGAAGTGTAAATTTGCGGGGCAATCAAACAAGTGGGGAGTGCCATTAGAACATTCCCAGAATTTGGTGCAATCTTCATGTGGTATGTAAACAGGATATTTGCCATCTTTTTGTGGACAAGTGGGACCTAAGAACAATTTTGCAAATAATGGAATATGTTAAATAAAGTTAATATATGAGAATTTTTTAATTACCTGCTTGAACGTTGAGTGCAGTTGTAACCAAAACTACCAACAATATCGGAAAAATCATTGTTTAACTTGTTTGGTATAGTTTATGATCCAAACACCAACCGAAACTGATCTACATGCATGTATATTCCATGTATTTATACCTACTATCTTCTTCGTCTTAGGACTATGACATTATTAATCCTCTTTGATGAATGAGTAAATCAGAGTGTCATTTAATTATTGCACAACAATAAAAATAAAATATTTCAGTATATAAGTCATTAATTACAAACCAATCAATCATTAATTGCTTATTGTACGAATGCCATTTAAGAAAAAATCATAGGTTATAAATCAATAACAAGGTCCACGTCCAGATTTTCTTTTTTCTATTATTATTTGTTGAAATTCAATTCAATGATAATTGCATTTCGTGAAAAACAAGGCGCATGTAATTGAAAAAATAATGGTAGATTGTATTCATTTGTCATATTCATTTTTGAAATAATAATATTTTACCTATGGCTATACCTGTTAGTAATTACACAACAATTGTTACCTAAATACTCCATTAAATTCCATTAACCTGAACTTGACGAACAGCACTACGAGCCTTCTGCGGTTACCTGCAAATTTAAAGAAATTACAAGTAGGATCAAACCCTTACAAAAATTATTACATTCTAATTTAAAACTATGATGTTTAGTGAGATAAACATCACTACTGTTATAGATTTTCAGTTGCTTGAATACATTTCGCTTAGGTTATTGTTTGATAATTTTCTTCCTCAAATCATATTTAAAAATATATGATTTTACGCATGGAAAACTCAAGGATACCGTGAGGGATACAAATGATAATTATTATTATATATATTATATATTTATTAAAGTTGGCTGCTAGGAAAGCCATAACTGCATCCTGTATGTAAAATCGGTAGGGTCATATATTACTTTACCGAAATGTCAATTGTCAACATTTGTCAAGGAATTGAAAAACAATAATGTAAGTAACTTTTTCCAATTTCTACAAATAAAATGCTGATTTTGTATATTAAATCTCGCTATTAAAACAACAGTTTAATCGAAAGGATGAATAAAATGTTGATAGCAACACTTTATTCACACTGTCATTGACAACACGAATAAAGTAAAAAAAACTAAAAATTCGCACTACCACTGAAATTTTCGTTGCTATGGATGTGTAAACATTATTCAACTAAAATTTGCAGCGCTTGATGGTCCACCTCCTGTAAAACAATCCTAATGAAAGGCCAGGAACATCCTTTGAATTTGACCGTGACGGAAATACAGGCAACTTGGGCAATTTACCTTCTTTAAATGTTCATCACATTAGTAATAGTACAATAATTAATATTTACGTAAATGGATTACCTAAGCAATAATTTTTTTTTTAATTTTGCGAAATTGGAAAAAATCTTGTATGATACATGTGAATAAACGAATTTTATCCACTCGAAAACATTATCACACTCGGTTTCGCCTGTGGTAAACTGTTTTTTCGTTGGATAAAATTCGTTTTTATTCACTTATACCATAAATAGCTATTATCGATTTTATTTAAACTGTTTAATGCTTGACTGGCTACATTTTTAACATTTGCGGGCAATACGTCACCTAAATCCATCATTTTTCTGATTCTGTCTACAACATTTTTCTGAGTATACAACAAAATGTACGAGGACTGTATGATAACTACCCGTGTTTGAGGACTGTGTGTACCACTAACTCAAAATTTGTATACCATGGTCTAGTACCATCTTTCAAACGACGCTTGTCAAAATTTCAGTCAAATTTGTCAAGTAGTTTTGTTATAGCATTTATTGAAACTTGACAATTTCGTGTTTTGTGCAAAAATGGAAAAAGAGCAGTATAGATCAGTGATTCGATTTCTTTTTTGGAGCGGAAAACATGTGAAGAAATCAAAATCAAGTTGAAGGCAGTTTATAAGGACCAAGCACCTTCGATGACTACCATCAGATATTGGTTCAACGAATTCAAATGTGACAGAACATCTGTTTTGGATGAAGAGCTCCCAGGTCGTTCGATTGTAGTAACTACTGAGGAAATGGTCAACAAAGTCCACGATATTGTCTTAGCAGACCGTCGGGTGAAGATCAAAGAGATTGTTGAGATTGCAAACATCTCAACCGAACGTGTGCACAACATTCTTCACGAAAAACTGGGCATGAGAAAGCTATCCACACGATGGGTGCTGCGTTTGCTCACATGCAGTGGAAGAAAAACGGAATCGCGTTACAACTTAATTTATCAAATTTATCCTAGGTAAAAATTATTGTTTCTTTTTATTAAAAATTTAGAAAAATGTCAAGTTAGAGGTCCGTTAGCCAGAAATTATCGATTGAAAATTGATAATTGAAAATCGATAATTTCTGTTTACCATCTGGAACCACGAGGAGGTGGACCTAATTCCAGACTTCCCCAACGGTGATGGGGCGAGCTCAAAGTTCCTTTTAAATTTGTTGGCATAAGAAATATGAATAAAATTTTGTTAACGCGTGTCCATAATAATAATTTTTTTGTTTCTGAAAATACGTTTAATAAATTGTTTTCATACATAAACTTCAAGAATGTTAAGGCACCGTTTGCTGTTGAAAAATCGGGATGATTATAAATAACATTTAACTCATTTTTTAACACATTAAAATTTAAATCATATTTTGTAGCACATAATTCAACTTGTTTTGATGGAAAATTTAGCTGAAAATATGAAAGTAAGCTAGTCTGAAACAAATTTGCTGCTGTATATCTGCTTCTAAAAATCGATCATCTACACTAAATTTAATATTATCACAAATTTCTTTAGCAATTGCAATTCTATTGTCATTAAAACGAGACCGCTTTTTTGAAGATTCATCCTCTTCGTTTTCTTCTCGGTAATAATCATAGTCGATAGAATCTGTTACATGTTGTATGGCAAGTTTAAAAGAAGTAATGTTTTTTTGAAGTTTAATTAATCCCATTTCGCGAATTTGAAGCTGGTTGAAAAGTACCTAAGTACTAGGCATGATTCTGTGAAAGAAGTATAACCAAAAATTAAAATCGTAATCTTCTAATGTTTTCCGTAAACTACTTGCCTTGGCAATTGTTAATTTATCACTATTTTTATCTTCCATTATAATTTGAAAGCAGTTAATCAAATCATTTTTAAAACTATGTACAGTATTAACTATTCTTGACTTAAAGTTCCATCTAGTGGGACAATTTCTTGGTAATATTTTAGAAACGATATCATCAAGTATTTTTATACGTTTAGGAGATCTTGAAAAAAACGAGGAAAATGATTTTAAATTAAAAAAAAAATTCTTACTTGGCTGTGTGCTGGTGCCGCTTTTTCTATAATTAAATTCAACTGGTGAGCATAGCAATGAATAAACTGAGCTTTAGGGTAATGTTCCTTGCACCATCATAAGACTGAGATATAAGTTTTTTAGGATTTTGATTAATTTCAAGTTTTTCGAGCTCATTTAAAATAATATTAGAAATACAATCAGCTGTGTGATCTGTTGGATTAATGAATCCTAAAAATCTTTCAAATATTTTACCTTTCAATTCATATCTAACGACAAAAATCAGCTAAAATAGATATATAGTGCACTCCCAAAATCTCATCTTTGATTAAATTAATACAAACAACATAAATTGAATCAAGTAGTTCGTTTTGTATGGTTTTTGAAAGACCCATAAAAACGCGATTGTTCGTTTTTTCTATATGAGATTTTAATATAGTGTCAAGCTCTGCCATTAAATTAATTAAACCTCTGAAAATTCCCGGATTTGTAGAATCATGCGTTTCATCATACCCCCTTAAAGCCAACTCAAAGATTCCACAAAATTTTATAGCGTCAATCAGTTTACTTAAAATGTATCTATGCTGTTTTACCTGATCGTTATGTTTTTCGACGTTCTCTCTATAAGCACTATTTAACTGATTTCTTATGTCTACTTTACCTAACACTGCGAACGATACATTGAGATTTAAGTGTTTTTACTTCCCGAGCGTCAGCAAAGGAAGTATTGTAATCGAGTCCATCGGCCGACTCTCTACTTTTACGTTTTCTGGATCTCTCATGACCCCTAGAAGACGAAGAAATAGGTCTGCCATTTCCGTCTGTCTGTCCGTCTGTCCGTCTGTCTGCCGTCCCGGATTTTTATTAGACAGATAATCTCCGAAAGTACTGGACCGATTGTTGTGAAATTTTGTACTTATATTAGGAATATCATGTAGATGGTAAAACGCTAACCAAAATTTGTCTAATCATCCCCACCACTAATGCGATGACGTCACTTCAAAATTGTACATAGTAAATGGGTTTTAAATTGTATAAAATAACATAGTCCTACACATGTAGTTTACAACTCCGAATTGAGTTTTCATCCGAAATGTCCAGATTTTTGGAAAAAAATTCAAAATTATAAAACAACATTTTGCAATCTAATTTTGAATCTGCAAAAGCGAATGCTTTAAAATGTTGCAGATGTTTTAAGGCTATAAATCTTTAGTCAAAAAATATTTGCTTATCCCCTCCAAAAACTTGATGACGTCAGCTCCAAAGTTTGCCGAATAAATCATATCTAAAATGTACAAAATATGATGAGTCTGTACTTGTGATCTATCACTCCATTCATATTTTTTGGATTTGCAGATACAGGGTGACTCAAAAAAATTAATGAATGCGTAAATTTATTTTACTGATTTACTCAGAAACTACAAAACCGAATGCTTTGAAATCTTGCAGATATTTTAAAGTTATAAAGAGCATAATAAATGTTTAGTCAAAATATACTTGCTTATCCCCTCCAAAAAATTGATGACGTCAGCTCGAAAGTTTGCCGAATAAATCCTATCTAAACTGTACAAAATATGATGAGTCTGTACTTGTGATTTATCACTCCATTCATATTTTTTGGATTTGCATATACAGGGTGAAAAAAAATATGAATGTGTACATTTATTTTATTGATTTACTCAGGAACTACAAAACCGAATTCTTTGAAATCTTGAAGATGTTTTAAAGTTATCATAAGCATGGTAATTTTTGATCAAAATGTATTTGCTCATCCCCCTAAAAAATTTATTACGTCACCACAAAATTTTGATGAATAGATCCGATCTAAAATGTACA